CACATGTAGTACCTATATATGTAATATCAAAGCAATTGGACTTGTGGTTTTTAACGAGAAGTCAAAAATATCATTTTTTACCAAAAATGACAAAAATATTCACCGAAATTAGAAAATTAAAGATATCATCATGAAATGAACAAATCTGAGAGAGGTCTACATGTAGTACCTACTTATTTAATATCAAAGCAATTGGACTTGCGGTTTTTAACAAGAAGTCGAAAATATCACTTTCTACCAAAAATTACAAAATAATCATCAAAATTAAATAATTAAAGATATCACCACGAAATTAACAAATCTGAGAGAGATCCACATGTAGTACCTACATATGTAATATCAAAGCAATTGGACTTGTGGTTTTTAACAACAAGTCGAAAATATCACTTTTTACCAAAAATGACAAAAATATTCACCAAAATTAGAGAATTAAAGATATCATTACAAAATGAACAAATCTGAGAGAGGTCCACATGTAGTACCTATATATGTAAATATCAAAGCAATTGGACTTGCGGTTTTCAACAAGAAGTCGAAAATATCACTTTTTACCAAAAATGACAAAAATATTCACCAAAATTAGAGAATTGAAGATATCATTACAAAATGAACAAATCTGAGAGAGATCAACATGTAGTACTTATATATGTAATATCAAAGCAATTGGACTTGCGGTTTTTAACAAGAAGTCGAATATATCACTTTTTACCAAAAATGACAAAAATATTCACCAAAATTAGAGAATTGAAGATATGATCATGAAATGAACAAATCTGAGAGAGGTCTACACCAAGTATCAAAGCATTCAGGCTTGTAGTTTTCAAGAAGAAGTCGAATAAGTAAAACATTGACAAGGACGCCGGACGACGGACAATCACTCATATGATAAGCTCCGCTCGACAAAATTTAGTTTTGGTTCATTCCACAATCATTTATTTGAGACATAATAAATGTTCTACAAATCAAATTTTCTAATAATAAACATAGATTCCAGATTTCTCTTTCATTTCATACACAATACTAACCTAAAAATTGTTTGGATGCTTGCTTGTTTCCCTCCTCTTCAAATATATCAGATAATCCAACTAGAACCAGTCCTAGCTGCAATTAGACATGGATAAATTGCTATTATGTCAACAATAACCTTGAGACAGTGAGTCACCATAAACATTTCACCGAGGTCCTAGAGACAGAAAATCACAGTAAAAATTTCACTCGCATTCTTGAGACAGTGAGTCACAATAAACATTTTACTGGGGTCTTTGAGACAGGGAGTCACAGTAAACATTTCACCGGGGTCCTTAAGACAGGAAGTCACAGTAAACATTTCACCGGGGTCCTTAAGACAGGAAGTCACAGTAAACATTTCACTGGCGTTCTAGGGACAGGAAGTCACAGTAAACATTTCACTGAGGTTCTAGGGACAGGAAGACACAGTAAACATTTCACTGGCGTTCTAGGGACAGGAAGTCACAGTAAACATTTCACTGGCGTTCTAGGGGCAGGAAGTCACAGTAAACATTTCACTGGCGTTCTAGGGACAGGAAGTCACAGTAAACATTTCACTGAGGTTCTAGGGGCAGGAAGTCACAGTAAACATTTCACTGGCGTTCTAGGGACAGGAAGTCACAGTAAACATTTCACTGAGGTTCTAGGGGCAGGAAGTCACAGTAAACATTTCACTGAGGTTCTAGGGACAGGAAGTCACAGTAAACATTTCACTGGCGTTCTAGGGACAGGAAGTCACAGTAAACATTTCACTGAGGTTCTAGGGGCAGGAAGTCACAGTAAACATTTCACTGAGGTTCTAGGGACAGGAAGTCACAGTAAACATTTCACTGGCGTTCTAGGGACAAGAAGTCACAGTAAACATTTCACTGAGGTTCTAGGGACAGGAAGTCACAGTAAA